AGAGAGAGAGAGAGAGAGAGAGAGAGAGAGAGAGAGAGAGAGAGAGAGAGAGAGAGAGAGAGAGAGAGAGAGCTTTTAGGTCTGTGAAATGGTAGATAGGATCAATGTAGTCTTGGGCATATAGCAGCAATAACTGCAGGTTGTTCCTTCTTTGGTAGCATGCTTGCCTTTTTAAGTAGATTAGCATAGTAGAACGAGCCTTGATGTTTTCCTCATAAGCTAAACCGGCTGCTGCTGCCGCGATAACACCGGGTTGAATTGTGAGGTCGCCGGCCTCTTTTGTTCAAAGATGAAATGTTACGTTTAAAAAAAAGAAAACTCCGACGAAACAGTCTTGTCACGGCCCCTCGCTTGTTGGTCGCTTCTCCCTCTCTGCCTACGGTTTACCGGGCAGCTCTGTTTGACGATATGTATATATCGTCAATATATATACGTCTACTGCCCGGTAAACCGTAGGCGGAGAGGGAGAATATAGATATACATAGATATGTATATATATATATATATAACATATATCATATATATATACATATACATATGTATGTAACCGTAGACTCAGGAAGTACTCGCACTGTGACTTTTTCCACTGATCTCTGGATGTTCTTGCAGTCAGATACTTCCGGGGGAAGTGTAATTTGCGTCAGATACATCCATGAAAGTCCCACTGGGCCCGTGGAGGGGGCCAATATCCCGACCGGCTGAGCCCGGGTTATCTCAGACACTATATGCCCAAGTCGCAATGTCGGTGCCAGACTCTCTGGAGTGCAGAAAGGGGCGAGGGGGCGACGGAAAGGGGGGAGGGAGGGGGGGAGAAGAGGAAGGTGGGGGAGAAGAGGAGGATTCTCAACGAAGGAGGGGGGCTGGGGGGGGAGGATAACAGAATCCACGAGTCCGTACTGGCAGGGATCGCATGCATCCACATCGAATTTGATGGCTCACAATTTCACAATCAACGCCTTTCTCTACTGAAGGGATACTCAAACTTGGACCTTTTCCAGTCAGTTCTCTGTGGAGGAAATAGCGGTCAGGTACATCCTGATCGGGTCGGAAAATCAAAAGCGATCATATACATACAGGAAAGTCGTAGTGTGAGTATGCCCCGAGTCTTCTGACATATGTGCCACTTCGCTTTGACCTATGTGTCTCTCACACGGTCCCACCCCTCAATGCCCTCATTCACCACAATCTCTCTCTCTCTCTCTCTCTCTCTCTCTCTCTCTCTCTCTCTCTCTCTCTCTCTCTCTCTCTCT